GATCTCTTCTGATTTTTTGTTAGATCTTCGCATGCTACCTTCCTCTTACATCCATAGATTGCTCTATACAAGAGTAAACCAAATTTATTTATTTCTATATTTTCTTTGCCTTTCCTTTATTATCTATTTGAAAATGATGGCTTTTGTATTATTCTTCCTCAAGCCAAGATAAGAAAAAAATAGTCATTTACAGATATACAAAATGTTTGAGTTACCTAGAAAAAATGCACTGTTCTTTAAGAGCCTTAATTATTATTAACCCTGTATACTCTTCCTTTCTTCTTTAGAGTGATTTGAAATTCCACTTAAATGGGAACAAACCCTCTCCATTTTTATCTATGCAGTGTTGTTCTTTAACTGAGGTTCTCATGCTATCTATAGAGTTTATGTTAAAGAACTCCAGTATGTATTCCTGGTACAGGTTATTGACATATTAAAACTGTAAAACAGTGCCACCTTCAGTCAAAATGAATTCAGTTAAATAATAATTTTGTGATATTAATAAAGGGGTAAATAGATATTCGGATCTGGCTCTGATTATCCATTGATTTGTAAGAGATACCCCTTCATCTTTCACATGGAGCCCACATACTCCTGTAAGTGTTTGGAATACATTGGTGATAGCAAACATAATTTTTTGGAAAGTTTCCCTAGTGTAGTCAACACCTCAACACCTGTATACAACGTCAGAATCACAGTGCTTTATATGGACCTAGAATTAATGCAGGTCTTAATTGATTCAAGTCTGCTGAAGGCATATCACAAGGAAGAAGCTCAGGCATTTCTTTCAGATGAGAGTAGAACTCCAAATATAAAACTTTGTGTAGACTTGCTACACATCCCCTCCCAGTATTGCATGAGCAATATGCTGAAATACTGCATTAAAAAAATACGAGCAGTTGTCAATGCTATGCACAAACTTTATTAAAGTAAAACGCTATATTGATATTTTCATTATACTCAGGACAATTTAGAGGCATTTTGATGTTTGGCATTAAACTGTAAGTATCATAGAAACTGCATGTCACAAGTGTAAAATTTAATCTGTGCATGAGGTTATCTTTTTGATTGAAGAAAACCTGTAGTTCTACAGATGTTTGTTTACCAGAAGAACTCTACTTATCACCATGCTCTAGACACAGAGATGATTGAAAAATACTCTGAAGTCAACAGATGCTTCCAACTGGAAACATGTCATAAGAATCAATTTTGATTCCTGAAAATAGAGTCAGATGGGGATTAAATTGAAAGAGAAATTGCTTCCTAGTTGCCCCCTTTACTGCTTATTTGCCCGCCATAGTTCTAGGACATCTCTAAGTAAATAGATAAGAAAACCTATGAATAAACTTGCAGGCCTCTGGACTCATTTGCATTTTGTCTTCCTCAAAAAAAAAAAAAAAAAATAGAGCGCAATATACAGTGAAGAGCAACATCTGCAAATTTGACCTTTGCAGATTTTCATCAGATATAGTTTTTTTTATGCCAGAGAAGTACTTTGACAACTCAGGTCTATCAGGCAGCTAACACTTCTTTACCAATGCAAAAGAAGTCTGCAATTTTTGTGTTCCTTGGTCCTTTGCCTCAGTAATACAATAGTAGGATGATCCAAGTCTCTTATATTAATGAATGTAAGTGTGGGAAATTTGACACGTAGCTTAGGGAAAAATTTTTCATCACCTTTTAGGAGTATACCAGAATTATTTGTCAGATTCTAGAATCAAACTAGCTGCTCCACATTCTAGCCCCCTGCCTTAAACTCAGGCCATCTTTTACTGTTGTTTATAAAATAATCAAACAGTATTTATTTGACTCAGACTTTTAATGGCCCCTGTCTGAGTTCATAAGTATGGAGAGATGAGCAAGAGGCTTTTCCTCTGGAGCAGCTGTTTAAGACTACTCAGCGTAACTCCTGCTGTACTGGTGCTTTGGAAGCTATAGGCAACACTTGCTTTTGCTTCTTCAGGTAACAAGCATCTGAAAGCAGAATGAAAGAGATTCAAGCCATGTCCTGGTCCACTCCAGGATATGGCTGCAGTGCCATGTAGAGGGAAATCATGCTCTAATTGCCTAAGGGCTGATGCAGCTCCCATGGAGTAAATGGCACAAAGAAATACTGTGTCTGCTAGTCTAACTTGCTTTCATCCCTTCCACTATATTGTTAAATGCTATGTTCTAATCCTTTATTAAAAATAGTGCAAATTCATTACCTCAGTTAAATGAAGAGGATGTTTTTAAGTCAGTAAAAATATTGCTGACTGATTTTGGTGTTCCAGTTTGGTTCTTTTTCCCTGGAAAACCTGTGTATGTAAGGAAATGTTGGGAAAAAAAAAAAAACCAAAACCTTACTTTGCTCTAGCTTTAATGAAAAAAGGAGAAGTACATGACTTCACAGTTACCCGAGGCAGATTTGTAATAAACATCAGTGCTTCTTCTCAGTGCCTGATTTTACAGTTTGGTCACCAGTGGTTTCTGTAAATGCATGTTATTAAAGTTAAAAAGTGGAGAAAGTGAAGCAACAAAATAAATGTAAGCTTAAATAAAGTGACGACAAACAAAATGTTGATGCCTTTTCCTCTGTCTAGACCCCTGTGTTGAAAGCAGTGTTTTCATAAAACTCAGACAGAATTAATTTCCATACTGAGGGCTTAATAGTTCCTGTAGAACAAAACAGCTGGGAAACATATGGTATCCATTTCCCTGTATCACTTGGAAAAAATTTCACATGTAAATAAAACCAACATAAAAGTGTAGGCCTTTGAACCTAGAATCTTATACAATACATAAATAAGTCAGTACAGTGCGTTCTTTGTATTGGCCCACTAAGTTACATGCCTTTTGGTTATTATTTTTATTTCTTCTTTGGAAATGTTTTCTTAAGCACTTCCAAAAGCATTAATGTAATTCTCAGACATCCATTACTACTAAGCCATACTAATCTTTCGCGTCAGGTATTAATGTTGCACTGAAAGTGTATATATCTGTTTCCTTAGGAAGGTGTTCATGGCAAATTGTGTGTTTTGACCACAACTTAGATCCCACTGATATGCAGTTAGTACATACTATAAATCTGCTTTGTTTAAACAGTATCCTTGACTTTTAGACTGCATTAACTCTTAGTGTACATTGAGAGGGGAATAGTTAACTGCCTAAATGCTTTTGTGGTTTTAGTGTAGTGCTGTCCCTCAACAGAAAATAACAAGAGAAAGAAAACTATTTGCCAAAATTCCGCTTATCATGAAGATCATCAATATTACCAGATGGGACTATTTCTGGAAGAGTACAAATTAAGTAGGATTGAGTTCAAGTTCATAGGATTAAGAGTTCTGTTGATTGAGCTCCTTCCCTTCTCTCAAGTCAGATTCCCTGGTCAAAATATCCTGCAGTGCACTGAAATAACTGTCTGGAAGATTCGGAGCTATAGGTGTAGATAGGGATGTGGGTGTGAGTGTACACAGGTTATACATATAAGTGATGGAAAGTTTGACAGAGAAGCCCAACACAGAGAGGAGAGGTTCAAAAGGAACATCACACCTCAATAAGTAGGCTTAATTTTTAGATCAGAGAATCACAGAATTGTTTAGGTTGGTGGTATCCACTTAAGATCGTCTAATTCAATGGCAAGGGCAGCTAGAGCAGGTTAAGCTAGGAGTGTGTCCAGTTGAATTCTGAATATTTCTAATGATGGAGATTTCAAAGTCTCTGGGCAGCTATGCCAGTGTTTGACCAGCCATACAATTTAAAAAGTGTTTCCTTGCAGTCAAATAGAATTTCTTATATTTCACTTGGTGCTGGTTGCCTCTTGTCCTGTCATGGAGAAGAGCCTCTTAATGATGCGATTCCTCCTGACCTTTTCCTTTCCCAAGCTGAACAGTCCAAGCTCGCAGTTGATGTTCATGAATTTCTAGTTCCTGTAAGAAAAATACATCTTCCAGAGGAAACAGGTCTTTAAAATCGAGTTGTTGTTGTTATTGGTGCTAAGACAAATCCACTAGAAAGATTTGGCTAACTCTTACTGCCCTCTCAGGAAATCATCCTAATCTTATGATGCCTCTCAATGCAGAGCAGAGTACAAACTAATATGGTTGGACAGGACCCCTGTAAATGCCACTAAGCTATTACTCACAGAATGGGTCAGGTTGGATGGGCCCACAGCAGGTTCTGTGGTCCAATCTCCCTGCTCAAGCAGGGCCATCCCAGAGCATGTGCCGTAGGATTGTGTCCAGACTGTTCTTGAATGTCTACAGTGAAGGAGATTCCAAAACCTCTCTGGGTAGCCTGTTCCAGTACTCAGTCACCTGCACAGTAAAGAAGTTCTTCCCTGTGTTTGGGTGGAACTTGTGTGCATCAATGTCTGCCCATTGCCTCTCCTGGTAGTGCTGGGCACCAATGAGCTGAGCCTGGTCCCTCCTCATGAAGCCCTCCCTTCAGATACTCATGGACATTGATGAGGTCCTGCCTCAGTTGTCCCTTCTCAATGCTGAACAGGCACAGCTCCCTTAGCCTTTCCTCGTAAGAGAATGGTCCTGTCCCTTACTAGTAACAGTCCTCTGCTGGACCCACTCCAGTTCCTCCATGTCTCTCTTGTACTGAGGAGCCCAGAACTGGACACAGAACTCCAGATGTGGCCTCATCTGGGCCAAGTGAAGGTTGAGGAGCACCTCTAGATCACTGCTGGCAATACTTTTCCTGATGTAGCCCAGAGTCCATTGGCCTTCTTCAGCACAAGCACACATTGTTGGCTCACAGACAATGTGTGTTTTTTATTAGAATTTGATTCAAACTTATTATTTGTAATTATTACATTACATTACATCCTTGAAAAAAGTTTATTTTAGGAATGTAAAATTCTTCAGTTTTGATAGAGATGCCATTAAATCTGTTTAGATATGAATCCAGCATGTAGTTGTTTCTGGTGTTTGGCCAGGTGTATCATTACAGCATGCTATCATGACACATGTTAGGTAGCACTCACTGCTAAATCAATTCCTTTATTTCTCTAGTTTCTAGCAGCAGCTGGAACTGTGGGGTCTCAACTCTTCTTGGAAATGCACAGAAACCAACAGGAATTGCAGATGTGTGCAATAAATTCAGACCAGTGAAGAGGGTTTCTCCATTAAAGCACCATCCAGAAAGCTCTGAGAACAATGAAAGTGATGACCAGAAGAACCAGAAGGGAGAATACCAGAAAGGCAGCGATTCTCAGTGTGCACCTCCAAATGATGACCAGAGTCCAGGAGAAGGAGAAAGCCTTAAAAGCAAAAGCACTGAGCCTGCTGTTCTGCTTGGGGAGCTGGAGCACTATGATCTGGATATGGATGAAATTTTGGACGTGCCTTATATTAAATCAAGTCAGCAACCTGTTCCTTTTACGAAGGTAGCTCCTGAGAAAAAACTTTTAAGTGTGTGTTCAACTGTGAATGGTCCAAGTGTCAAGACCTGTCCTGCAGGGAGCACAGAGAGCTCGCCTGCTGGCAGTATGCAGTTTTGTGTGCTGTCTCCTGTGAAAGGCACTCAGCTGAGAAAAACACAACCCATTGTCCTTGATCAGCACAAGCATTCAACAGAAGAATTAGAGCTTTCCCAGCCTTTAGTTAAGTGTAGCTCAGCCCACGAATCTGAAGCCCGAGGTAAGGGCTTCTTCAGCAAGACACTTGCTGATCCTCTTGCTCACAAAGCTGAGAAGATTATGCCGAACTGCCACCAGAGGACTTTCCACCTGCAGACGGCGCTGGCAGAAAGCAAGCAGCTAGAGGAGCTGAGTATGAACTGGAGCAGTGCAGGGGGCCCAGAAGAGAGGAGCGAAGAGGTGAAAAAAATTAAAAGCATCTTAAACATTGTAAAGGAAGGCCAAATATCTTTACTGGTAAGTACCATCTTTTTCATAAGTAGCATAGAATAAAAGTGATCTATGATGTGGTTTATTAAGCTAGCTAAGCTGATGCTCCTACTTTGAATCACTGCCCTTTTTGTCTTGTAGACTCCTTAGAAATTAAGCTGATGGGCTTCCAAATGGAAAGTATTAATATTTAAATAAAATATGTAGCAAAACCAAGATACTTGGTTTATGCATGCCTGGCCAAGATTGCTCTTTTATGCAGTACACTGAAATTGTAAAGACATTTTAACTGATAGGATCACTTAAATATCAAATTTAAATCCTAATTGAGTTTTGCCTTTCACATTTGTGGGTCAGTTGGCTCAATTATTGCTGGTTTACACTGTGGTTATGTAGAAGTTGATGATGGGAACAGAGAGGCTTCTGTTGTATTCTGATTATTATTCAGGAGTTTTTATGCTGTCTTGTTGCAGCAGCATTCTCAGGGAGGAGCTTTCTGTAAAGCCTTGTTGGCCTCTAACGCATATGAAGGTTTTTTAGTAAATTTTAGCTCTGTGATCAGGCACTGTCAATGATGGTTTCCAAAGCAACTGACTGCAAGTTAGTGCAATGATGCAGAGCATGTGATCTCCACACAGAACAGCTGGTGAAGGCACAGTGTATGTGTAAAAACTGTTTTTGTTAGATTTTTGTTTAGCTTCTCTGTTTAGCAGTCTAGCTCAAGCACAAAGGCATGCCATTAACATAGAAGCAAGGACAAAGGAAGGTATTCAAAACTAGACAGGCAGAAGAGAATATTAGATTACTCATTAAGAAATAAAAGCAAGTTAAATTCATCCTGGAATAGAAATTGGGGGGAAAAAGAGGACATCACAGGTAAGAAAATATGTATATTTTCCAAATTGGTTGAAACCTCTTCCTGAAGTACACTCATGGAACAATACTCTGGCAAGACTACGTACCTCTAGGAGCTTTGTTATTGCTACTTCTTGACTCTGTCTTCAATCTTCTGTTTTTCCTCTGGAGTTTCTCAATTCAATTGTTTTGTCTTTAAATTAGAATTAGGCAGAAATAATGTACTACACCATAGTGGTGTTGAACTTAGTAAATATCTCAACAGTTTTTTTCGTGGAAATAAGCTATCACATAAAAATCTTCTGTCTTGTGCTTTAACTACATTTTAGATGGTGCTTAGCATAAGCTACCATTTTATGATGAGCAAAATTAATCAGGAATGTCTTTCAGAAGTCATTCATATTTTGTCTTCAATTACTTATCAATATAATGCAAAAAAAATTAAAACAGAAAACTCAGAATAGACAGAAATTACTAGCATGTGGGTATTTTTGCAGCTATCTTGTTGACTAGACTAGTGCAAAGATTTAAAGGCACTTAAGAGCTTGCACTATTGCATGACAATTGCATGAGAAGGAGAGAAACTTCACAATTAATCAAACCAGTGAACATACCACTTCTGTCCTTATGCTAATAGTACCCAGGTTCTATACAGTGAAGTGAAAAGCTCTGGATTTTGACTTGTAAAATACCATGCCTCTTGGGAAACCTCCTTGTGTTTGGCTTGTGTCTGGGGCTGTGAGGATAAATGTGTCTTTTTATCCTTAGTTGTAAACAACATATTGCTTTTTTTAACAGCCACATTTAGCAGCAGATAATCTGGATAAGATCCATGATGAATGTGACAACAATCTGTTGCATGTAGCAGCTTCAAAGGGACATGCAGAATGCCTGCAGCATCTCACTTCTTTGATGGGTGAAGACTGTTTGAATGAACGAAACATTTTACAGCTAACTCCAGCTGGGTTAGCAATAAAGGTAATAGGCCCTTTTTCTACTGTAAGGTGACATTAAGGTCTTTCAGTTTCCTCCTGTCATGGCAGTAAGAAATGCATCCAGCAGGATGTTCTTTTTCAAGCTTTATAAGTAAGGGAAAAAGGACTCCTGTTGGCTGATACTACATAAGCAAAGTGAAATGGATTGCTACACTGACTGTAATATCCACTGAATAACAATGACAGAATTTTTACATTGTTATCAATGCATCAATTTTTAAATCGATCTACTGAATCTAAAGAATATTTGATATATTTCAAGCAGCTTTCACTTAACTTGGATTCAGTTGTTTCTTTGGGGAGCATAGCAGTTTCTTGGTTTTTTACAAATAGTGGTATAATCGTATAAGGCAAGTGTGAGAATAAGTTTACAAAGCATAAAAGCACTTTGAGGTGAAAATTCCCAGTTGTCTAAAGCAGTTGCAGAAAAGTTAAAATGTACATGTTGCAGAACAACCTGCTAAAATCTCAATAAATTTAACGTCCAGGTTTACAGGAAAACTTACTATGTAGGAAAATATGAAATTTCATGCTGTTACTATGCTAAAATAAAAGACAGTGCAGGAAGTCTGATGATTTAACCATAGTAGTTGTGGTTCTTTAGTGAGAGTGAATGGTTAAATATAATTCCTTTTATTCTCTAAATACCTTAAGGACAAAGAAGAGAAGGGGTGAAACGTAATACAAGATTTTCTGTTTCTTCTGAGGGGTTTATTGTTACTTGCTTCCTGGGAAGGGTTTGGAAACTGAGAAGACTGGTGGATTCCAACCTGCAATTTTGCATTTTTGTGGCATCATTTCAATGATCTAGGGCCCTAGTGCAGGTGGCAGGGTTTTGCATTTTTTATTTTCTGGGCCAAGTCATATAATTAGAAAATTAAACTGATCCTAGTTGTACTAAGGAAATGCTCCAAAATCTTGGCCTGAGTCAAACTGTACAGTTACAGTCTACCAGTTTAAAGTCTTAGAAAAGTTTAGCAATTTTTCTGTCTTGTTTATTCAAGGTAGGTATATAATGTGTCTGTAAGCCAGTAAATTCTGATACTTAGTGTTTGTGGAAAAGAGGTGCTACACCCTGCATAGTACAGCATTATGGGAGTTGCAGTGGTATAAAGGAGAGCAATAAAAATCAATATCATTGTATCAATGTTGAAAACCACTCTGGAAGGAAGGATCAAGAACTACAAGATTTAGTTAAGCCATATCATTTAAAGGCTCTTACAAAACTTTGCAATGACCCAGGATAAGTCCAGTTATGTAGGTCATCATTAGAATTACTTGTGCTGGGGCATCCTCACTTACAGGAAGAGCTCCATCACATTCACACTCTTTTCTGTGAATGAAAAAGAATGCTCAAGTATTGTTGGAAAGAACCAATTGTTAAATAAGCCAGCCTTTCTGCAGAAAGAGGCAAAAGGTGTTATTGACTTATTCTTTAAATTCTTAAACAAACTGGAAATTCTTAATAATTCTGATAAGCTTTTTGCTCTTTAGTAGATGTATTTAGAATGGAAACGGCTGGAATCTAGACTTTTTTTTTTTTTTCTTGTTTAGAATGGTCAGCTGGAGTGTGTTCGGTGGATGGTGAGTGAAACAGAAGCTATTGCAGAACTCAGTTGCTCAAAAGACCACCCAAGCCTTATTCATTATGCAGGTTGCTATGGCCAGGTATGCCTTTCTTTTACTTCTTCAAATAGATTACTTAGATGCTTGTACAAGAATTTGATTTAAAGTATCTGTGGCATTTTGTGGTTTTTAATTACAGGTGCTCTGAATTAGTTGAAGTATAGCAAAATCTTTTCTAATTTAACCTGTATAATTTTTTCAGCATTTTCTTGGGTTTTGTTTTATAAGGTTTGAATAATGGCAAGGAGAAGATAAACTGACGTATTAGGTCAACAAGCAAATCCTAAGAATGTCTACAGAGATTAGTTGTAATCTAGAGGACACGTAGGATACATCAAAAGAGCAAGAAAAACTTTGCAATTTAAGAATTCATTGTATTGGCATGAAGTATGGTGGAATTTGAACACCATCTGTCTAGCTTTAACCACTTTAGTTGAAAACTACATACAAAAGCAAGCTGTAGGTTCACAGAATATTTGGAAGGAACCCACAAGGATCATCTGGTCCAGCTCTTAAATAAATGGCCCATATGGGGCTTGATCCCATAAGCTTGGTGTTATTAGTACCATGCTCTAGCCAGCTGAGCTAATTGTAAATCAATCCTGTTTCACACCTAACTTGTCTATTGATATAACAATGAGACAGCACTGAAGAACTGTTATTGATATAACAATGAGACAGCACTGAAAGCATTCTGGCGCTTTGCTAATATCTGGAGGAACATATATGCCACTCAGTTACACTATCTTCTCTTCCCACAATGTCTGTTTTCTCCTAAGTAAATCTTCCAATAACTCATCTTCAAAGGACCTTCTCCAGGATCTACTGTGAAAGAAATAGTGATCAATTATTCTTCTCTAATCTCTTTGGCAGAGGGACCATTTTATCCCACAGTTTCTTTGACAGATATTAAAGATAAACCATGGAATCACAGAATCATAGACTGATTTGGGTTGGGACCTTAAAGATCATCCAGTTCCAACTCCCCAGATATTGGCATGGACACCAAACCTCACTGATTTTGTGCTAATGCTTTTTACTCTTCTTGAGAGAGCAAACAAAATATAATCACTAAGAGAATCATTCGTTGCTATGTGTGGTTGTCTCATTCAATGCCATACAATTATTGTGGCATTTTTCTGCTGCTAACTGCTTCTGTCCAAGGATGAATTTACTGTAGGGGTAGGGAAGGAGATGAGGCAGGTTTGGAAGTCTGTGGAGCTAGGAGTCTCCCTTTTCTCCTGCAGTTTCCATAGGCACAGAGACACCCTTGTTTTCATGCTGTGAAAAGACCTCCTTTTTTCTTCATTTTCCTGTTGCCTTTATTTCCACGCAGCTCCTGTCCCCCAGGCGCTGGCCTGCAGCAGCCAGTGGGTGGTCGATGGTGAGGAATGCACGCTGCTGCCCCTGGGTCTCTGCTGAGATTACCAGGTAGCAGTGAGTTAGCTCTGACATGGGCAGCACTGCTCTGAGAGCGCTACTAGGACCCGAGACAAAGAGACCAAGAGAGACCACCTGTGTGCAGTCCAAAGAAAGTTGTATTGCTCGAACCCTGCAGGCACAAGTGACAGAGGGGCGGGAGTCTGGTTACAGTTTTTATAGGGAATATAGGTGATAAGGTAAAACCAATAGAGACAGTGTCCAGCCTGAATACATTACAGGTCAAATCCAATGGGAATAACTCAGGGGAGGGGTGAGTGCTCAGGGGAACACAGAAAAGAAAACTTTCTAACTTCAGATTCACAAAGCCTTTTGCCTTTTGCACAGCTGTGTGTCACCACATTTTCTACTATACAGATGTTTACTGGTGCGAGATAGGACCCCGGTGGATATACAGTTTGCTGGTGTTAGCAAGTTTGCTGTAAACCCAACACTGAGGATAGAGAATATGTGAGCTAGATCAGAACTGGATTAGAGAAAAGAGTGCTTATTACTGAGAATAAAAAGGTTGGAAGAGAAAGTTGCATGTGAACTTAAATTCCTGTCTTCACTTGATTAACCTGATTTTGTCCTCATTTCTAAAGATATTTATATAAACTAAAGCCAGTGAAGTTTTGGGATTTTTTTCAGTGAGCTATGGTATCTACTGCCAGAAACAGATCTGGCACACTTTATCTAGATTCTTTTCAAAGCAGAACGGAAGCTCTACCACTTAGGAAACACCAGCTACAGTCAGCCACCCATGAAATTTGATATATAAATTGATATATAAATTACTGCCAATTTTTTTTAGTTAGCTGAATGCCAAACAAAGTTCATATGTAATGCTAATTATCTTTCCTTTTATAATCCATAAACAACCTTCAAAAATGAGGGAATATTGAGGCTGAAGGGGTGCCAGACTATCTTACCCAACTCTGTTAAGAAAGAAAAAAAACTTCAAGAAATTTAAATGCTTACTTGGCACTGTCCTGGAACCTTTAATTTATTTTACCATTACTTACATGAGAGATAATCCATGTAAACACTGGTCTTGGCAGAATTACAAGAGTAATATTTTTACAAGGAAGACCTGTTATTGAATCCTTTGCTAAGACAGTCAGTCTATCCATTGTTTCTGCAGGCATTAGACATGCATGCCATATTTTTCTTCAAGAATTATGATTTAGAATGGGCAGCAGGAGGGAGTTCATAGCAAAGTTCCTATGTTAAAGGTCATCAAACTACAGTCATGGCCTGCCTCCAAGGACATGCCAGCAACATTTTATTTTTCCAATGGGAGAAGGGATCGCATAAATCAATGTGATTGAAGAGAAAAAAAGCTCAAAGTCAACCTGTAGCCTGGTCAGCATAGCTCCTAGCAAGGGTTTCTTTAAGAATGAGACTATGCAAGAGAAACCATGCTGGCTGGCAGGCCTCTTCACACTGGGCATAAGTCATGAGTACTGGGCATGCCAGCTGTAATTGACCCAGTTCACCATGTGAATGTGGTGGTGCAGTCCTGGGTGCACATTGTCCTAGTCCTCACTTAGAGCTTCATGGGGCTGGAATATCTTTCTGTCAGGGATGCTGTGGTATGGACTGCACAGGTAAGAGGCACAAGATGGGGAATGCCAAGGCTTTGTGGTTTCTGAACTCAGGAGAATCTAGGAAGACTTTGGGCAACCAGCCTGAAACATAACTGAGGACCTAGAAGGGGTCCTGTGCACACTTTGATGGTGGTACAATTCTGGAGAGCACAGTGGGAAGGAGTATATTACAGTCAAATATGCAGATACTTAACAAAACACCTTTGTTTTACACCTCAGGATATTTGCCTTCCTATCTAATGTCATTATTACAAAGGCAATGTGTTGTTTTCACTCACTCCTACTCCTCTACTGTGAAGGGATACTGGGAAGGCCAGCTTATTTAATTGATATCAAGTGATGGGGCTAGGATTAGCTGTAGATACAGTACTCTTCAGCATGCTTACCCTTCCCTTTGTAGGCCATGTCATGATTTATGTGGTCCATGTTAGCTGTACTTTCTTCTCTAAAAGTCGTCTGATGGAACCAAAGTCAGCAGCCTGTCCCAAATTTTCATGAAATCTTTTTGCAGAGAGATTTGTATTATTGTAGGTCTAGAATATGCCAGAGAGGGTTTAATAACTGCTAGAGCATAAGCATTTGTAGGTGTTAAAAGTAATACTGAATAATTTATCAGTATTTATCAGTTCCTCTTACTTCACAAAAAAAAGTGATAATTTTTCATTGTCTTCATCTGATGAATTGTCTTACTATCTTTCCTTATGTCTGAATAAATTGAAGACTATAAATCTATTTCAGAAAATATTTTTCCTGCAAATACATATTATGAGTGTTAATAAAGTGAAATGTGGCATATTTTGATATATGATGGTTTTGTTTTCACTAGTTTTTAAGTGAAAAAAATTCTTTGTTTTCTTGGGTTTTTTTGGTCAAGGATAAATTTGTTGAAACAAAACAAATTTGTTGTGACTTATGACACTGTGCCTGTGTTCACTTAGTGCACAGGTAGTCCTAAGTATAGATGATTGAATAGAGCCACCCAGCCACTAGATTTCCTTGTTGATAAGAAAAATTACTAGAAAGTATACTTTGCTCCATGCTGATTGTGATCATAAAATTACAGAACATGCTTAACATTCTGGTCTCTTATATATTCCAAAGAAATATATGATTTCAAAGCTATAGTTGTCTTCCAATTCTGCAAATAAGTTTTGCTAAAGTATTTTTCTTTTAATTATTAAAACATAGGGGCAAGTCATAGGAGTAGTACAATCTTTCTTCCTTGCTGGCCAACACCACTGGCATATTGAGAAATGCTCAAAAGTATTTTTAAAGGGATATGTGATATGTAGTCATCTCTCCATGCTGGCTGTCAGCTGTGTTGGGCCTTCAGCAAAGGAGAAGTCAAAATACCTATTCCCTCACCCTGTAATAAGAACAAAATTGCTGCTAAAGTGAAGATATGAAGAAGATAAGCGTCAGACAGAGCAGGCCTCTGAAGTAGTAAGCAGGGACCCAGATGCTTAAATGGACAGAATCATCCTGGAGTAGGTCTAGAACGGTCCTCTCCTTTTCATTGAGATTAAAATTTCTGTGGTACTTTTACACCAAAAAATGCAGGTTTATATCCAACCTTTTAAGAATTTTCTTTCTTCATTTTTATTCTTGGTCTTTTCTAATAATTACTGCTCGGTGTCCTGTATGTGGTTTCAGTACTGTTTTATTTATGTTTACTTTAGTTTTTCACATTTCTAATTTTGGGTGATTATGTACTTATGTGTCACTGAAGCTACTGAGGTGCTGCAGATTAAGCCTATGCATCAGTGTTTGCCTCAGCAACCTAGAATCCACAAAGCCCCTTTGAACTGGAGCTCAGAGTCAGTATAACATGATAGATATCAAAGCTAGACATTAAAAAATACACATTTAAATAAAAAAGTTTTATGCTAGGAAGTAATTTAGTCTTTTAACCTTTCCAGATAGAAAAACTGAGAAAGCAGCTGTAGTCAGCTTTAATGGACCCCACTTTTCCATGTAATCTATAGATTTATTCTAGATTTTCAATATGTATTGTATTCATTATGGCAAAATGAAATTTAATCTTGTGTAACATGGGAAGTTCCTAGAGAGAAGAATTTTTTTTTCCCAAATAAACTCCCTGGGGAAAATAAGAAATCAAAAAAGCTTAGTGCACACATATGTAACTCTCCATTGTTAGAAAAGAATACCAAAATAAATGTGTATTGCACCTATATACACACAAAAAAGGTGGTGTTAAAAAAAGAAAGTTTCTACTTCAGTTTTGGCTTCCAGACCTTCAACAACAAGTTTTTGCAGTTCAAGTCTCCCCATCCTTCCCAACATGCAGGACATACAAATGGTCCATGAGTCAATACATTGAGTTATTAGGGTAGCTTTATTTTCTGATTTTAGTTGTGTTGCTTCTTCTTTAGCACAACCACACAGAGATGGGGAATGATTATAGATTTGAAGAATCTAACTGCTCAGCTCTGTGATCTGAGCATAATCCTATTTTAATTTTCCAGAGAGGCTTGTGATGTTTGACCAAATTTCACAACGTGATTTTCAGCTTGATATTCTTCCTCAGGTTTTTCAGGTTATTTTTTCTCAGGTTTCATCACCAACACAGAAGCTGTCACAATCTTCATGTACAATTTCTCAGAATGCATTACAGTACTTGTGTTTTTCCTGTTATTTCTTTCTATAAAATAAAATATTTCAGCTTTTTTCCTTGGGGGAAAAAAGGAAACCCAAAACCCCCAAAAAGACAAACCAAAGTTCCATGATGCACTAAGTCTACAAAGTTAAGAGAGAAAACAAAGAATTATTGGATAGTATTAATAATAGATGATAGCACCAGTATTCCTTTTCATTAGTTCTTACCTTTTGTGACATTTCTTTGCCCTTAGGAGAAAATCCTTTTGTGGCTTCTTCAGTTTATGCAAGAACAAGGGATTTCACTGGATGAAGTTGACCAGGATGGAAATACTGCTGTTCACATAGCTGCTCAACATGGCTATCTAGGATGCATACAGGTAGAGTGATAGCTATAGCAGAAACCTCTAGACTTCAAGCTTGAATGCCAAAACTGTATTATTGGAAATCTAAGTGGGGATACTTATTGATTCATTAAAATATATCAGAAGGAAGAACTTTAAATGAGTAGGAGTCAGACTGAAATACTGAAAAGCTCCAGGTTGTGATTCTATTCTTGAGTATGCTGTTGTAAACCTAAACTAACTTGTATTGCAAGATGAAAACATGATTATACTGTTTATATATAAACAGCTAATATGTCTGTTATTGTGTTACAAAGGGCAGCAAGTGCAGATATGCATACTTTTCTCATTACTCTGGTATTTTCTTTCTGTTTCTTTTTCCATTGAGAAAGGATAGTTGTAGCTATCCAGATGAGGGAAATTATAGAAGATAGGTTTGTTGAACTGTTTACACCTTGAATAAACCATCCTTTTCATACTGTTCATCCTGGAATGAATCTGTGCTATACAATGAAGAGTAATGTTGATTTCTAATTAATTTTCAGTGACTCATCTTGGCCTCTGAAAACAATATAGTTCTATTTACAGAGGTGCTAAAAAAATGGTCATTTGTCCAGCTGAGAAGGCTTACACATCTACAGTACCTAGAGGAGCCAGAATTAGCCAGTTTGGATACCTCTGTCCAGCATCTGTGTTCAATGCAGGCGTAACAAAAAAGTCATGGAGTGGAACTGGATGGCTGGTCACAGAGTCATTAGCCATTAAGGCTGGAAAAGACCTCAAAGATCATCAAGTCTGACCAAACTAGCTCCATCACCGTATTCGCCATTAATGTATGTCTCCAAATGCCACATCCATACCCATTTTTTGTCCACCTCAAGGGAAAATGACTCCACCACTTCAATGGTCAGTCTGTTCCAGTGCTTAACAACCCTTTCTGTGAATTTTTTTTTCCTAATAGCGGATCTAAACTCTCCTGGTACAACTTGAGGCCACTTCCTCTCATCCTGTTAATTTGTGAGAAGAGGCCAATTCCTACCTGGCTACAACCTCTTATCAGGCAACTGTAAGAGAGTAATGTCCCCCGTCAGTGTCCTTTTGCCCAGACTAAACAACCCCAGCCTCCTCAGCCTCACAGGGCTTTTGCTCCAGACCCTTTCCCAGCTCTGCTGCCCTTGTCTGGATTTGCTGCAGCACCTCAATGTCTTTGTTGTTGTGAGGGGCCCAGAACTGGTCACAGGGCTTGTGTGGCCTCACCAATGCACAGTATTGCAGCATGGTCACTGCCATGGTCCTGCTGGCCACACTATTGTGGACACAGGCCAGGATGCCCTTGGCCTTCTTGGCCACTTGGGCACATGCTGTCAGCCAGCACCTCTAGGTCCTTTTCTGCCAGGCAGCTTTCCAGAAACTGCTCCAAGCTTGTTGTGCTGCTTGGGGTGGTCCAAGTGCAGTTGAATCTCATCTAGTTGGCCTCAGCCCTTTGATCCAGTCTGTGCAGATCCCTCTGCAGAGCTTTCCTGCCCTCAAGCAGATCAACACTACTGTCCAACTTGACATATCTGTGAATTTACTTATGATGCATTTGATCCCCTTGTCCATGTTGATTACTTTAAATAGGGCTGGCCCCAACCCTGAGCCCTGGGGAACACCACCACTGACCAGTCACAATCTGGAGGTAAATTCGTTCACCACCAGCCAGTTTTTCACTCAGTGAACACCATAGGCAGCCAGATTCTCTAGGAGAATACTGTGGGGAAACATATCTAAGGCTTTACTAAAATCTAGGTAAACACACCTTTTCCTCATCCATTAGGCCGGTCACTTTGTCATAGAATGAGATCAGGTTGGTCAAGCAGAAGCTGCCTTTCATAAACCCATGCTATGGGTGAGATGCCCTGGTTGTCCTGTACTTGTTGCATGAGGATGGTCATGATGATCTGCTCTATGAACTCGCCTGGCACTGAGATCAGGCTGACAAGCCCGCTCTTCCCTGGATCCTTCCTTCCTCAAACCCTTGTATACATGGGTGCCAAGTTTGGCAGCTTCCACTCACTGGAACCTCCCTGGCTGATCAGCACTTCTGGTAAATTATTGAAGGTGAAGCAACTTAACTTTGTATTAATTGCAGATGTACCCTCTGTCCATCAAATTTGCTAGAACTATTAGTCACAGGAGTACATTTCAGTGTTTGTGTTGTCGGCACTTTGAGCAAAAGCTCTTTGGAGAAGAAATAATAATAAAATTATTCCAGGAAATTGCAGACAGGTATTTGATAAAGAAACTAGACATTGGAGAAGAATAAATAAAAAAAATAAACAACCTCTTGGCAGAAAGGCAAGAAACAAAAATTTAAGTGATTAAGTCAAGTTAGGGAGGAAAACATGTCTAAGAAGGAGGAGTAAATCTCCAAGGATTCAGATATGTATCAGTAAACATGTTATTCCTATTACCATACATGAACCAATCCACATCACTCTTCAGGCCACAGCAAATACAGAACATTTGTATTAGTCCACCCAAAAAGAAATACAGAGTAAATTTTCATTAGCTAACCTCTCCAGAGAGCTAAGTATATTTGTGTACACTATTAGGTTGTATCTACAGCTGCAGAGCTATTATTATTATTGCAGTCTATTTATATATTTGCTTACCCAGAAGACATAACTCTGTAAAAGCCAGTTTGAGTATTGCATAATAAAAAAAGAAAAACAGGTTGAGCTGAATGAATAGACTTAAAAAGAAAATAGTCAAATAGATTTGGAGAGCATGACCATCTCTGTGTTTTCTTACTGAGAGGACATGTCTTTTTTCTTAAGGACTTGAGGAATGGATCCTGTAGAAACTCATATGAGAATAAAATAAACAAACCATGACATCCATGCTAAATCTATTGGGTTTACTATTTTATTGTAGCCAATTTCTATGATCAGTTTTAAAAAATGGATAGAAGAAATGTTTATGATTTATTGGTGGGGGGCACTGTTGTGGTAAAGGGTGTGTGTAGGGTTCCTGTGGCGTGTGTGTTTAGGGTCTCAATAGTGCCTCATCAAGATGTGCAGTGCATTTGAAGGAGAAATGGGAATAGATTATTTTGAACAGTGGTGACATCTGCAGGTGTTTTCATGGAACTAAACAAAGAAACAAACAAACCCTGCTTTCCCTGTGAAGAACAAACCTTAATAAGTGCCTTAGAATTCTAAAGATTATTTTATTTTAAGTAAATGTACGATTTAAGAAGTGCTTTTTGTTGTAGTGAGGCCATAAGAAATAAGTCATGAAAGTACTTAGTGGCGATAAAAATACACAATGTCAGTGATATCACTTCACTTACACCTCACAGACTTAAGTAGAGTTGATATTTTGTGCTGTGAAATAAAATAAGCTCTGTGCCCAGTAAGCTTACAGTCTAATTTAAAATAATGCACAGTGAATAATCTGGTAAGAATAAAGAAATGATAAAGGAAACAGAGAAACTGTAGGCAGCAGCATAAAAACTGAAAAATCACAGCCTGCCAGTGATTCCTTGGCCTACTTACTGTGTTTATAAGCATATGATGCTCCTATCATGTTTCAAACTATATGATTACTTTATGTAAGGTCATAACTCTCCTTTGTTTTCTTTCTTGACAAATTAAGCACAACCTATTGATATGAGATGCAGTGCAAGAGTTCATAATTTTCCTTTCTGTATGGTTTTAGCAGATCAGACAGACCACCCATTCCACTTCTCTCTCATATGTTGAGGTCTCTGTGTCTGCTGTTTGTAGTCAGCCAAGTCACTCCAACCCTCAGTGGTTTACCAGAGCTGCTTGGATAAGTTAATCAAGAGCTCAGCCATACAATTCCTCTTCTGCATGTGTATGCATGAAGTTAATGATGCTGTAGTTTCTGGCTGTACAGGATCACAAGTTTTCCTAGGGGCTGGTATCAATGCATATCAAAGCATTGCTGAGAATATTTAGGTCCTATTTACCTACTCCAGTAATGCAAATAGCTCCTAACTCTAATTATCACAAACAGATTATAAGACGGAAGATTTGGTCTCAAATCTTGCTTTAGTTATTGGATGTCTCGAGGTCAGACAGAACTTTTTTTGCACATAGAACGCTATTTATTCTGGTCTCAGAATAATTCAAATGTCATGCTCACAACCTGGATGGTTCTCCAGCAGCAAGCTAGGGTTCTCTGCTGGTACTGTGAGTAACACAGGGATATACATCAGAGTATAAGATCTTATTTTTCTTGGAGACTAAAAGCTGACACATATATCAGTATGTCTTAAGAAAATAGTGACTAACCAAGCAAGTGCAAAGCAATGAGATTCTCTCAACATTAAAAAGTAACAGTGACTAGACTTCCCAAAATTCCAGCTAGATTGATATAGTAATTTTATAGTTCTTTATCTGCAATAAGAAATTTATGCCTATCTGGCCTAAAGTATCTGCCCTATATTTCATATCTAAGCATTGCTTAGTTAAGAGTCAGGACACTGAGACTTCCCTATAGAGTGTTTTAAACATTGGGATTCTGCTGTGGTAGAAAATGAAGAGTTAACAAAAAGAGTCAGCAAATGCTGTAGCAAAGACATTACTAAAATGAGACTCTGAGGGTATGTTGCAATATTTTGCAGTGTGGGGATCCCAAGAAAAGACGTGGTAAACTATTACAGCTTATCACTACCCACTATAAACTGGCTTGCAATGTGTTCATGCTGCTCTGGACCTGGATGTCATCTAGAACAGTTGTCCTGTGTCTTCTTTTCTAGGTCTGCTATGTGTAAAGTTACCACAATGCATCTGCATCTGCAAAAGTTTGTTACTGTGGTGCAGGAGAGAATCAATAGGTGGCCAGACAAAAGTCCTGTTTTAATTTGTATGAATGCTACAAGTGATGCTATGCTGTACAAATGAATGAACAGAAAACAAATTAATTTAGCAGAACTTCAAGGGGAGAGGAAGGAGTAACATATAGTCTCTTTACAGCTCTTCTGAACTGCAGCTCACTCTTCTATATTCCTGTTGCACCTGAGTGGTATATTTTCTTGGTATGTGGTTTGAATTCAAGCTGCAAACATGTCAGTGTTTTTGTCAGTGACTGAATTTTAAAAATGACTGGCTTAGACTAATGTTTTTCAAGCATTTTATTCAGGAATGCTTTTTCTCCAGTCATTCTTGTGCTGATCAGAAATCACAGCAGAGATTTACACTTACAGATGCCGCTGTTCCCTTTTATGTTTTTACAGACATTGGTTGAATATGGAGCAAATGTCACCATGCAAAACCACGTGGGAGAGAAACCCTCTCAAAGTGCTGAGCGACATGGGCACACCCTGTGTTCCCGCTACTTAGTAGTTGTGGAGACATGTATGTCACTGGCCTCTCAGGTTGTCAAGCTGACTAAGCAGCTGAAGGAGTAAGTGTTTCATTGTTAGCAAGAGGGATTATCTTAAAACAGTACCCTAATTAATCTTCAGTTTATTAGCAGTGGCAGCTGAAAAGGGTATGTATGAAGAAATCCAGTCCCTTTTCCCTTTGCATATCTGTCAATCACATAATTACAGATCATCGTTTCTGCTCATATAGCATGTTTTTATCTACAGGTTACAGTGCTGGGTGTTGATGTTGGCAGGAGTAGTAGAGACAGTAAATGCAAGGAACTTTTTTTTGGTCGTGGAAAGTCACCAAAACCTACAATGGCTACTCCGGAAATATCTTCTATTCTATATTTCGTCATATGAACTGGTTTTAATAGTTTGGTATATTTTTCATTAAGTATTCTGTAAAGACCCTATTTGTTGAAACACAAATTTTCTAGTTGCTTGCTTTAATTGTAGAGACAGTTACTGTGGCTTAACTGTCAATATCCTCATAAGACTCTTAGAAACCGTCAGCACTGACCTGACATTTTTCCAGTATAGGTATGTGGATCAAGATGTCAGCTATCACAGTCGATGAAAATAACTACTGATAACCCCATGTTTAAAGGAGACCATATCTTTTTATGGTGGTAAATGTGTAGCTAATTGTATTGGGTATAAATTACAATACTCTGCTACCAGGGGAGCTGTAGAGTGGCCTCAGTGAGAACGAGTGAGGGGTTTCCCTTTGCTAGACAGAACTCTCTGAAACAGATCCACTGCAGGACACAGCTAAGCCCCACTAGTCATTCTGTGAAAACATGGCTAAAAAGGAGCAGAAAATGCCAGAGAGATGAAGGAAACAGAAGAGTGACAATCACAGGGAACAGCAAGGCCAGAGGAGCTGGAGGTGCACCATGGTGGAGAAGGCACAGCCCCAAATGGTCCCTGGAATACCCATGGTAGAACAGGTACATCCCTTGAAAAGGCTGTAGCACATGGACAAGCTGAGACCCAGTGATTTCCTGAATGGAATGCAGCCTGTCAAAAGACCTGCACTACAGAACAGGAGAGGGTGGGAAGAAAGGAACAACAGAGAGAAAGTGCTGCACATGAACCCTGACCTGTGCTACGTGTTGGCTTACTGAAAAGACTGGGGACAACCTGCAGCAATGACAAGAGGGCAAGAGAGGTATCTGAAGTGAAGCCTGAGAATGGTGAAGAGGAGCTAGGTGTGCAGATAAATCTGGGAGAGAAGTTGAACTTGGAAAAGGAGAGGATAGATGTTTTAAATGTCTGTCCTCCTTTGTTTCCTAATACCTGAACCAGTAATGAAATTTATGCTAATTAACCATGAATTAAGTTACATTCCCCATGTTGAATCTCTTTTGTCCATGACAGTAATAGAGAAGTGATTGCCCTGTGTTTACCTGTACATTTTTTCTTTGCAATATCTTCATGCTTTTACATTTGTACTGTCATAAATACAAACACTGAATTGAGGATCTATCAGCAATGATGAGAGAGAGATGGGGACTTGGTGAGATGGTCAAAGGTAGTCAAAGAATCGGAATTTATTATCGGATACAAATTCTTATATAGTATTTTAGGAAGGCTAGTGAAATTTTACTACAATGATTGGGTTAAAAATCACACAGACGAACTTACGCATTTTACAACATCTCTTGCTTGCAGAGTTTGAAGTAATTTTCTTTTTCTGGTAGATCCATTTGATTTAATCTTCTTGAAATCTTGATTTAAGTCTCAAAGTTCTGTTTGCTGTTGCCAAGGCATTTTATTTATCAAATCTCTTATCCTATAAGGTCTAAAGTACTCTCTGTTTTGTGTATCCCAGTAAGGATTATTATAGCATGTACCATTTTCATAATTTACAGCCTGACAATGTTCCCTGGATATGTCAACATACCTGGTTGTACTTGGTCCCATTTGCTGAAAAATACAATCATCTGACATAAAGGGAAAAATAAACATTGGGTATTTCCCTAGAAGACAGAATTAGCAGCTGACTCATATAATGAGTAATATAATGAATATATTTTCCCCATAATTCAATAGGAAAAAAAATTTAAAAACCACACACACACACCAGGAAGTAGATGTGGCAGCCACAGAATACCCATGTTTCAGTTCTTTTCTGTTCACACCCAGTACTTGATAAAAGTTTTACCTCTCATTTGGAAAAAAAGTAGTTGTTATATGAGTCACCAGGCTGCTTCGTCCCACAGAAATAGTCTAGTTGTGACTTTCATGACAAAAGCATTAACACTTTACCAAGTATCCCTGTTGTCTCACAGACTGCATCCATAGGAAGACATTGAAATTATTCTTATCTGACTCCTGATAAATTTATTTGTTTCAGCTTGAGTTAAGTCTGCTTCCCTTCAGCAGCCTATTTTTCAGGCTTCAGATTAGTTTCAGTAAGTGCAGGAGCAACCTTTTCTCCCTCTTCCACAACATATGTCTCTTGTGGAAACCCTGTTTCAGTTACTGAGGGAGTGAAATAATTTATTTTCTGCTTGAAGGAGCAGCTTCTGCATGGCTATTCAGGCTGCTGGCCTCAGGCCACAGGTGGTTTGATAAAGCAATGGACCATGTTCAGACGCTCATGCTCAGGAGCCAGAAAGGATGATAGAAGAAGACTTTTGCCCTGTTTTACAGTTGTCATCCTTCTGAAAAATCCAAGGATGGTACAAAGTGGAGCAACTCGCCAAGGGGCCTTATTCACAGCAGGAGAATTCACTAGCTGCAAACACCTCTGAAAATTCTTGAAAGCAGTTCTGAAGATCCTGAGGACATTAGATGTCAAACAGATGGGAGTCAAGTTTGCTATCTAATTCTTTCATATGTATGTAACGTAGCTGTTCCGTAGGAATAACTGCAGCCTGGGCAGTTGAGCTGTCTTTCCTGGATTTTCACCAATACTTCTCCCAAGGTTAATGAACACTGTTGTAGAGAGAGAAGAGGTATGGCTGTATCATGATCGATTACCTGAATGGTCAGTATCAACACTGAGGGCACTTATGTGCTTCGCAGCCTTCCCTCAGTTTTCATAAGTGAGAGCTGATCATGCAGTCTTATTTTTTTTGAGTGCCTTATTGATGAAGCAAATAAAAAGGTAATACTATTTCCCCAGCCAAAGAAAGACTGGAATGGTTGATAAGAAGAAAAATAGTGCAGAAACTCTCTTAGACAAGTACTTATCAATACCTATATCTTCAAAGGTTTTAACCCAAAGAAAGAGATGTTCCATTTTCTTTTTGTGAGTTCTTCCAGTCAAAAAGAACAAGCAATGCAGAGGAATTCTAGAGAGGAGTTATTCCAAACTGTTTGGAGCCATTTATTAACAGAAAACACAAAATCAAAACAATAACATCATTTTTTTTCCAGTCTTCACATCTTTCAGCTCTTTAAACCAAAGCAGCTCAGATGACAAATACAAAGGAGTATAGAAAAATATTCTGAGTCTAAGTCTCCATTCAGAAGCAAAAGCCTTTATATTGGGAAGAAGGAAGTAAGTGGAAATAACAAATGTTCCATCAAATCTTCACAAGAGTATTAGCTGTGGGTTTCCCCTAAAAGGGAAAAAAATCTAAGCAATTCTTTCCATAGGTAAAAAGAAAAGAGGCCCACAAAGACCTGGTGTTACTGGCTTCAAAATGTAAGCTTTCCTTTGAATCTCTTGCTAATTACAGATTTTTTTAAAAATCCAGTATAACTTTCTGAGCTAAACAAAATACTTAGAACAGTCACAGAAGTTTCCTGTAGAGACTATACAAAGAAATTTGCTTTCCTTTAACTTCCTGAGGTCTTCACAGGTCTTACGATGTTAGTTATTCTCTCACTGATTTCACCTGTGAAAAAAAAATTCATATTTGCCAGTGTAGAAAATTCCTACATGCAGTATAACTTGTATTATTTGGGCTTTCCTGTTCTGAAGAAACCATGTCAGAATTAATGACATAAAGTGAGTGCTTCCATAGATGTCTTATGCAGTGCTTGCCTGAAAATGGACCTGCATTTCCAGATTTTACTGTCATGCATTTATGAATGGGGAAATCAGTTGAGTGAGACCCCTAATGATTCTTCTGATATGCTATCAAGCCAAAATCTCTGTCAAGGCAAAGATCAAAACAAACCATGAGTCAAAGATAAGATTGAGAAAATAATCTTAATATTCTCTGTTGTAGGCACTTTTCTGTGCTGTATGAAAGAAATCCATTATTTGCCTGAACATCTTAGGAATAGCTGTAAAATTAACTGCATAATAAAAATCTCTGTAGTGGTATGGTAAAGTGTGTGCAGGTTGCTGCGGTTTTTGGTTATATGGGGTTTTTTGGGGGGTAGAACGTTATATAGACATATAGTAAGAAACCAAATAAAAACTTTGAAATATTCATTTCTTTTTCACTTAGTTAAGCCATTTTATGTTCTGCTTTGTAGCACAGTCATTCTTGTGTTATTTGAAAAAAAAAAGGGATAAATAAAAAAACATGCTATGAGAGATGCTCCTGTAGAAGCTCAGCCTATTCCCTCTGCAGTTACTGAGTTGTCTGATTCCATAAAGAGATATTTGGGGTCCCCAGATGTCTAACTAGACACTGAAGGGTCCTTACATATCACTCATTGGGAACACTGGCTAAGCTAAGATCCCCAGAATGTGGCCATCAATTATATAAAAGGTAATATACCCTCTTACCTCTGAAGATACAGTAATCTTGTCTTCTAAATCAATCTGGCTTTAATATTTTGCAGTATTGCTATTCCAAGAGGTTGCAATCTCCTGTTTCCAGTATTATCTTGGAATATATATATATGCATGTTATTTATCTTTAGGGATAGTGCTGGCAAGAAGTGTGTGTGTCTGTGTTATGTACTAACTAGTTAAACTGTGAAAATGGAGTAAACTTCAACTCTTTTAGCACAATAAATTGTTTAAGTAGAATGAATATTACCTCAAGAGGCACACATGTCATAGATCTCCTCTGAAGCTAAAAACATAAAAAACTGGTAGCTGCATTATTAGAAAAAGAAATTGAAGAAATTATAAAAGGAAAAGAAAACAGATTAATTGCATCACAACCTAAAAAGAATTTCACTGCCTCTTATAGGAGAGTATCTGGGGATCTGCAATATAAGCTAATGTTGACAGATGATAGAAGTAATTTTAAAATAGCCTAAAGAGGTAGTGTAGGCCAGAAGAAGAAAGATGGAAAATAAAGAAAGAAAGGATCTACATAAAAAATGGCTGTGTTGTAAAATGCAAGGTAGTATGTCAAGATCACATCTTTATTTCTATTTCATTTTTCAAACTCACTTTGATATATTAAAAGTAAAACATTTTTTTTCTGACAGCCCTGTAAGTACAACCTCCAAAAAGTGATCTGGATTCTTTCTGGCCTTGCCATTGCCAGTTATAAGAATTGCATTTGGAACACAGCTATATCTTTTGCTGATGGTGTGTGTGCTAGGAAAGTGTCCAGCTCACTGGTAGAGAACTGCCTTAGTCCAACAAGAATAAAAGTACTAAAAACATAGACAGCAACAGAAGCAGAGCCTGGGGGAAGCAGATAAAAAGTAATTTTCCCATGGTCATTTGGTCAGGACCAGGGAATAAAAGCCTCTAAATTTCTAATTTTCTAGAAGTTTTCAAATGATTGTGTCTGTGCAGTGTTTAGATGCACTGGAAATTACAGATCACTAAACAGATGTTACCTGTGGTGATCAACAAAATGGGGTGTTTTGATGTAAGAATGGAATGTCTGAATTGTAGGGAAGCAGGAAAAATACTATGGCAAAATTGTGGCAACTTGATCTGCCATTCTTGTACTTGAGGGGTTTGCAGGTTATAATGCTCAACTGAGACCATCGAAGGGAAATAGGTATGTTGCAGGACAAACAGATGTGATTACAGGTGACAAATGGAAAATGGAGTTTGTACTGTGGATATCACTCTCATTAACAATTTTTAGGTACTATTGCAATTTTTAAGTGCTGGTCTCTAAAGTTATTTGAAAAACAGTGTAGATCACAACACCACACTGAATGTGATAAACTTGGGTAGTTATAGTACAGGGATTAAAGCGGCTGCAGAGCCCAGGTAGGACCTTTGGAAAGGTTTGCACAAAAAGCAGATGTGGTACAGACATCAAACACCCAGCTCCATCTTGCAGCTGTAGTTTGGAGCAATCCTTTCCAGTGGGCAGAAACTTTCTCTGAGTTAATTTCGCAAATAGAAAGGGATAGAACAATTGCCTGAGCTGTTGCACAGATGATGAAGGCCATCCATTGAACATAGGTAGGAAGTGGCTGCTTAATCTATGCTCCCTAAATTTACCATATTTTTGTGTCTGTGAGTCAGTTTCAGTTCATTGGTGCTTATGATCATACATTTGTCCTTATATGAAGTGTAATAAATAATCTGAAAAATACGTTTTTCTCAGTTGTTGTTGTACAGTGATCACAAAATGTCAGCAGAGATTCAGACAGAAGCACAAACTCACTATGTTCTTATTTATAAGTTTTCTATTCTGTATATAAAGTACAGATGAAGAGGACTTCTTTCTTTAATTGAAAGTTGAAAGGGTAGTTTCAGTTTTCCTGTAACTTACTTATTCAGTCAGTTTTAAAAAATTGAGATAAACAGTCTTCCATTTTCTTGCAGGCAGACTGTGGAACGTGTGACATTACAGAACCAGCTCCAGCAGCTTTTAGAAGCCCAGCGGTCGGAGGGCAAGTCACTGCCTACATCCCCGAGGTAAGGTGGCTGGAACTGTGCTACAGCCTGTATTTGCACATTTCAGTTATCAGGAGAAGCTGTGATCTGGCTAAATAGTAGATGTGTTCTGTAAAGAAAACGTGGGGCTACCTCATGGACTTGAAGCTGAGCTTCTAGAGTTTGACAGTAAGTATTGCTGATAAATATTGGAAATTCCTGAGTATAAACTAAATAGTCCTTGCTTTGCAATAGAGTGAAAGCTAATTTTAGAGTGGAATGTAGTATGTTTTGAATTAGACAAACAGCAGAAGATCCTAGAAACCCTAGAAAATATGTAAAGTTTGATGTTTTGTTGGCCTATCATACATTACTTTTAGCAGTAAGTTATAAAAAGTTACCAAAAAACTTGCTTTCATATTAATAAGGCTCATTATACTCATTAAATCTCTTACCTGCTCTAACATGTATAAAAAGTCAAAACTCTGGAAACTATTGTTTACGTATCCTGTCAGAGTCACAGAAAGAAGCACAGGTTTCAGACATTAAAAGGAAGACAGGACTGGGTCTCTCTGACAGTGAGAGATCGGCATGGAAGCAGATGAAGCGTGACTTCACTCTCACAGCAATCTGAAGATGATTTTGAAAGAAATAAAGTAACTCACCTGCAAATAGAGCTTGATTTATCCTTATTTGTTAATCTATTTTCCTCTCTGGAAACCATATACAGTGCTTTTCCCTATTTCAAAGTTGTTAGGGGGCTACATGTATGTGAAACTGTGAAGCCGGCATAAAAAGTTTCTGCAGTCATTGACGATCAGAGTTTTGGGTCATCAAGTGTGAACTTGTAGGGTCAGTGACTGCTTTTCTTTAATTCTAACAGAATCCTGAGCATTTTCCTGTATAAGTGCTCCATGGCCCTGAATTTCATGTGTCACTGTTTCAAACAAGTACAGACATTTGCAGTTGTAGATAACAAAGACATTAGGATTAAAGACACATTCATGTAAAATAACTTCAGCTAGGAAAGGGCTGTAAACTCCAAACTCCTGTTGAAATAGAAAGCCACACTGGAAAAAGGGGGTTTTGCCTTTTTTTAGGAATCTTTGTCTTCCGTGTGTGCAGGCTCAACAGGGACAATGGGACCAAAAGCTGTTTTCCAGCTCGTTTGGTTTCTGTGATTTTTGCTTCCTGATCTTCCCAAGTGGTCTCTCATCTGAGTTCTGGTGTGCATCAGGATTGTTTTACTTTCAGTATCAGATAAGATCAGGTGGAAGCAAATCTCTCATCATTCATTATTCCTGTAAAAGGGTAGGTTTCAACATCATTTTGGTTGAGAGAGCAAGTCTGAAAATTACACTCTACTTATTTTATCGTTGGCTACTACTTTTCCTTCTAGTTGGAACTCACTTGTAGATATTTTCATCATCCAGGAGGCAGTAGCAGATTTAAGAGAACATATCCCTTTTATTGGGAATGTGCACTGTAGATAAATGCATGTTCTTCAGAGTGTGTAGGTTTGCCACAGGAAAAAAAAAGCCCATAAAATTAATTGAAAATGAAGTGTTTAGTATAGGCATGTGAATTTTTTACACTGTGAGAACTATGGAAGAAGGTGCTTGCCAGCCTCACAAGAACCTAAATCTTGTCACCTTGATTTTAGAGGAAAATGGTTTACAGTATTAATGTGAAGTGTTATGAGCTCTACCATACGTCATAGGAAAAGAAAAGATCTTTGCAATTTACATTCTTCACAAATCAGATATTGCTCTAATTGCTGTTTCGTTCTATAAAGCAGTTGGAGTTCTAAATTTAATTTATTATTCTATTAGTATTGAAATGGCATTCATGCCACCTTTCTCTTGCTTTTCAGTATTTCGTATATGAAAGGTTTTCAGTGCAAATTGTCCTGATTTTTTAAAGAGGTCTTATATGGTTTGTTATTATTAATACCAGATACAGTTTAGATTTATGAAATCAATGCTGTGCAGAGAGTACTTTCACAGGACTTAGAATATGCTACTTTTGTATTATGATGTAGCTTGGATAGCAGGCATTTGGCCTTGTGGAGTTTTTTTTGCATGTCAGCTCACACAAATAGGAGTAATTTCTCTAGAGTTTTCCTCATAAAGTCATATTTGGTGTTTGAATACCATTCTGTTCTTGATTTTAATGAGATTTGGGTTGGTTTGGTTTTTTTTTTGTAAGAGAAAGTGAAGATACTCAAATTCTGCATAGGAGGAGAAACAGTATTACATCCTTCTCTATGGAGTCTGTGCTGTCGCATCACAGTTATGAATTCCATGGGAGTAGCAATGAAAAGGATAAGTAACAATAAACTGAGGCAGACACATATATTGTAAATGCCACTTTCACATTTTAGATATGCCTTAATTTTACTTTGACATTTCCTCATTTTTTCTTTAAGCTTGTCATCATCTCCTACTTCTGGCAAGTCCCAGTGGAAACTATCTGAAGCGGATGAATTGTCTCCACCAAAAAGTAAATTGAACACCAAGATGGGATTCAGATTCTTGGCAGCTTGGGAATGAGCACATCTACTCATGCTCGAGCTAAGATAAAAGATGAGGACTCCGATAAAATCTTGCGTCAGTTGTTGGGGAAGGAAATCTCTGAAATGTCTGTATGCAAGAAAAGCTGACTTTGGAATTTCAGGACGCTCATGCATCCTCCAAGAACGTGAAGAAGATTTTGCCAGAGAAAAGGGAGTTGAAGTTAGCCCGACTGAGACAACTGATGCAGCGGTCTCTTAGCGAGTCTGATACAGATTCAGCTAATTCTGAGGACCATAAGAACACCCCTGTGAAAAGAACTGACAAACCAAGACCTCAGCCTATAGTGGAGAGTGTTGAGAGCACAGAGAGTTTGAACATGATGCTTAAGAAGCATACTTCCATAGCAGGATGGCGCTTCCCTTTTGGTATCAGGGTCTCTAAGTCTGTGGATGGCTACAGTCCTTCCCCTACTTCGGAGAGCAGCGACGTGGATAATGAATCCCCATATCAGTCTGGTACAGTACCTCAGAACCAATTCTGTGGAGACAACTCTCCATCCAGCACAGACAGTGCTACTGCCCAAAAGGTTGCAACTAGCCCAAAGAGCGCTCTCAAGTCTCCATCCTCAAAGCGCAGAACCTCTCAAAATTTTGAAACTTCGAGTAACTTTCGAGGAGCCTGTGTGCAGGTGGAACTAACAGAGTCAGAACTAACGAGGAAAAAGGATAAAGACCGGAGTAAAGGACCTTGTGCAGGCTCCAGCCAGCTCTGCGGATCATGCAGGGGACCAGTTGAAAAGGCCTTTTGGAGCCTTTCGGTCCATAATGGAGACACTGAGTGGCAACCAAAATAACAACAACAACTGTCCAACAGCAAACCTCATCAAAACCTCCTCAACACTGCCTTTTACCTCACTAGGAAGGAAGACAACAGAAAGTAAGGGAAATCCAGCAGTTGTCTCAAAGGAAGAAACAAGCCAGTGAGTACACTGAAAGAAGGAGGGGCTGTTTTTTCCTTGTCTCATTAAATAATGCATGAGTTTGACAACATCTTCCTTCTGCCTTTCTATTGCAAAATGATACACACAAATATTTTATTGTATTTGACCTAAAGAAAGTCCATCCAGTTATTTAGTTTTGGAAGAATTTTCCAAGCAGTGGCAGGTACTGCTTATGTATAGAATCTGTACTCTTAGGGCATGTAATTGCCATATTCTGTGTTGAAAGCTTCCACAGAGATGTGATTCACATGGAAATTATGCTTGGTGTTGCAGTGAGTGACAAAACATACAATGAGAATGTCAGTCTTGAACCATGGGTTTTCTTAGGAGTAAATATCTGAAGACTAGCCCTGTCCTGTCCTATAAAGACTGATGGGGCCAACTGAATAAGAAAAATAACAAGGAAAAACTGCAGGAATGGTCCTTCCAACTTCTGTGGGAGCTACAGCCATCCCTAGGTGTTGAAGCTATCAGCAGCAAGTCTCTTTTGACCACCTTCTCCTCATAGGACAGTCTTCTGGCCTGTTACAAAACATACTGGGTCCAGATCTTCCCCTCTCTGCAGTGAACAGAGTGCCTTTTCTGGGAACCCAAGGGAAAGAGGGGTGCATGCAGTTAAAAGGCTGGTCCTCGTGTTTAAAAAAAGGATTAAATACTTGGAACAAATTCATCTTTCAGTTTTTAAGGTTATGTTGGACTCAGTGACCTCAAAGGTCTTTTCCAACCTAGTTAATTCAATGATTCTGTGATTTTGTACTAAATAGAAGAGAAGATGTAGGAAATATTGTGGGTGGCAGTATGTAGATGGAGAGAAATGTGAGCATCTGGAGATACAGTAGAGGTGAGTGAGAGGGATTGTAGATGAATTTAATCCTCTATGGAAGATAGGCAGGGAGGGAAGTAGTGGATGGATAGACATCAGGCAAAGAATAATTTCAGGATGAAAAAAAACCCATAAAGGAGGCTAATAGGAAGGGGAAGCAGCAGTAGTGATTATGTATGGTAAAAAGTATGACAAGGTAAATGGGAGAAAAATACAGGAGCATTTTAGACAAAGAGGAGGCAAAAGAAAGAGTGGAAAGAGAGAACTGGGAAACAGTGAATAGTCCAAATTAGTAGGTGCTGTTAGACAAGTAGTACTATTGCAAACTGAAATTAAATAAAGGAAACTGAATGAAAAATTCAAAGGAGACCTAAGGGGCTGAATAGAAGTGGGACTGCGTTTCTCAAAGTCTAATCAGAATCACAATATGAACTACTGATTTGAGTCTTTAAAGACACACACCATCTAGTTGAACAGCCAATTACAAAGAAGTATATAACACAATGGGGTTTTTTTGGTTTTTTAATGGGTGATTCAGATTTCATAGTGATGGGGAAAAGACAGCCTGTTTTGAAAGATGTGCTGATAGGTTGAAAGGACATGAGCATTTTTTGTAGTTCCCTAAGAAATTTGAAGGATTGTATGAAGTAATTCTAACAGTGTTGATGCTTGCAATGTAACATGCTTGTTCTGTTGAAAAAGGCCATATTTGCATTCTCTGCTGCCAGCATCAGAACTGTGGGAGAAAATTTTCATACCCAACCCAAAGGACCACAGCCACATATCTCAAAGAGGTAACAGATTCAGATGCAAAAGGAAATCTGTTAAAATGTTACTGTGGCTATCTGATGCATGTTTAGTAGATTTCCAATGTTAGGCATGTGGGGAAACTCTGTGCATGCTCTTAATTGTTATGATGTTGTACTTCTTTAGGATCCTTACTTCAGCTACACCAGTCTTTCTTCTAGCACGTTGAAAGGAGAGCTGTGTAACTATGCTTGTATGTCCTTATGCATGGTAATGTTAACATCTCTGTTGCCTTCTTTTCTCAAATTGTATGTGTTTTGTTAACATTATAACTGAAGCACTAGAATTGATTGATTCACAAGAAGCTAAGTAGATGAACATCTAAATTCCTAGAAAAAACAGAAATTTATGATGGATTTCTGCTGATGTCACCATTGAACTGGCTACAGGATTTCATTTCCAAGCAAGTACAGAAACTATTCATGCTCTGAAATCCAGCAGGGTATATGGCAGATTTTGGCTGAGTATCTGCCCCTGTTGAATAAAAGTCCAAGTACCAGATGAGAATGGAAATTAAATTTCCTCCATGAGAAGAGCAAAAAGACCACAGTTCATCTCTAAATAGAGAATACAGAGACCATAGAGCAGAATGCACTACTGTAAGTCTATGTGCTCTTCAATTTTCACACATTTTTCTTAACATTCCCTTAGACTTTGAAGTTTAAATCTGTTTTTTTAAAAATTTTTATTAACTCTGATTTTATTCAGACTCCTTAATTTAGTCCTGTTCCATCAGGATTATTCAGGCAGATAGAAACCAGTTCCCTCAATTCCATAAAGATATGTTGGAAAAAAAACAACAATTGATAAAATGTTTATTTTATAAGAAAATGCTCTCTAAAAATGAGTTGTAATTTTCTCTTAACACTTACAAATTCCTTTTTCTTTTTCTGCTAAACTGAAATGTAAAGTTAGTTTGATATTAGTTTTTCTACAGTCCTAACTCGCTTTCAAGTTAGTGTTTCCTAAATATCTAACACATGGAGGAAGTGGGGAGGTCCATTCACTAGTTTTCTATTGCCAGGACCTTCCCATACTTAAAAACTCAATTTCTGTAATGGAAATGTGAGTCTTGTTCAGAAGCTATTGGCACAGTGTATGTGAAACCAGAAACTGTAAGATTTCCAAGAGGCTTTATTCTCTCTTGAAAACAAAGACGGAAACTTCTGTGCAGAAAACTGGATAGCAGCAGTTTGGAGGAGCATCAGTGGGCAGCTTCCAGTCAAAACATGTAGTTGCCTGTCCAGATCATAGAGTAATGCTAAATAATTAATTCTCATCCTTATGTTAGAGCATCTCCTAAGTGTAGGCAGTTGTTGTAATTTGTCACTTGCCTTATGTAACTGCTCTTGTGTGAGAATGGCAATGTGTCATTTTCCCAGAAATGAGAGATAGGGAATGGCTGGCTACCAGTGAAGGGCTGTGGAGTCATTTGCTAGGAGGGTGATGGTTGGGCATGAACTCCTGGCTATCACTCCAGGCATTGCTGGTCCAGGCGCCATGTCCTAAAGCTGCCCCCATTACCACAGACACTTGGGAGCCAGAGAGTAGGAAACAAGGAGCAGGGTGACAAACGGCATGGCTTGAGCAGGCTGTTACAGTACCCACAAATTAGGAAGTGGGCAAACTATGTGCCAAGTCTGTGACATGAGATTTCCAAATATCACAATAAGAATGGAAGTTGTATGTTGCTTTTCAGAAAGGTTCTCAGAGCTTCTAAGCTAGCCTTTGTAATGACCTTTAGCATATGTTACGATTTTTCATAGAAAAATGGGTGTCTGTCATTTGTCAGCTGCATGATGACCAGTAGTTGCGACATTTAGTCATAAAAGAACATCACCATTGTGTGCACTACAACCTCCTGGACACTGTTTGAATTTTCCCTGGATAGTCTGGAGACACTATTTAATTACCATTTCAGAACTATTTTGAAAAAAGTAAAAAAGTTTGTTGGAAAACAGGACAGTCTTTGGTGATTAAACCTTAACAAATTTTACATTGGACAGTTATATTTCTGAACAACTGTCCCAAGCCCATTGTGACACTACACCCTATAATAGGGGATTTCATTAGGATTTTCTGAAATCTGAAGTCATTATACAAAATCTACTTTCAGTGAGATGCATTCCTGCCAACTAGTTTCCAGCACTTTTTCTCAGCTTCTGTTCTTTTCATTTGTTTTTTTTGTTTTCATTCAAATACCCTAAAGTGCATTAAGGCTTTGTAGTATTACTTTTTCAAGTTGGGCATGTCTTAATAGTAGAAGACTATGCTAAATTCTTTATGCTAAATTTTAAATTTTATGCACCCTATTTTCTTAAAGCCTTGGAAGAAATTTGGATGTGCAGGATGGTTTGCTATATTTTTCCTCCTTTGTAAGAATTAGCTCGTTTTTTGCATTCTTACAACTCCAAGCAAAATACTTGTAGTATTTTTCCATCTTACATGTATGCCAATGAACAGTTCTTTCCCACACTTTGAATCATCTGAGATCTGCATTACATTAAAATAATATGTGACTCACTATATCAATACGAAACCCTGTATTGGGTACAGGTATGAACAGCAAAATTGCTTCCTACTGCAAAGCACTTAGGCAGATTCCATCATCAGATGTCTTTCATAGCAAAATGGTCATTGCTTTTAAAACAGCAAATGGATCTAAGCTAATATGTATCCCAGTGCTAGGCCTGAACACTGGATAGATTACAACTTCAAATAGATTCTCCCAGAAAAAAAATGCTTATATATATGTCCAACAAAATAATAAACATCATACTAGTTAGAGTATAACATGAATGTGAAACTAACTTTGTTGAGGAAGATTTACATTTGTTCTCTTGTGAACTGTTGTGATCATGCATCACTGCTTGATGCATGAGAGGGTGTATTAGTGGTGATACAGGTGCTATAATCTGTTAGAAATTGAATTAGAATGTGGTTACTTATTAGCCAATATTAGTAATACATTTTCTCCAGGTCAGGAGCACAGTTGTAAAAGGCATATCTGTTCAGTATTGTCACCTAGAGACATCTCTGCATTAGCTACAAATTTTCTTATTTGAGGTCACATTGCAACTGTAGAGCTGCCGAAGTGGGTCTTTGGTGTGCCTCATGAGCCTCTACATGGGGAACTCACCCACAGGCTCTTTCAACACTGCAAGCCTAAACCAGTGCAGCAGGTTAGTCTTAGCCTTTTAAAGCATCCTTTAGTAAAGATACACAGTTAATGCTATGATAATAGCAATGCACGTGAAATGCCAACATTGTAGGTATGGCAAAGAGTCAAGCTTCTCTTTTATCTCCTCAGACTCTGTCCTGCAAAGTCTGTGTCATCTGGCTCAATTCAGTGCCTTTTGCTGTTTCTTTGGGTATGTGTCAGCTGTAATTTAGATGAATAAAGGTGGTTTAAAATGGAATGATCACTCATGCACTTCTTATTAGGACCCAAAACCATGAGATCAGCTTCTGTTAAATCCTGAAGTAACCACCAGGTTAACTAACCATCCTAAGTATAAGTTTCTTGGGAATATTTGGCTCTTTGTGATGGTTGTAGACTGAAATAAAGCTATTCTAGTTTACAAGAGTCAGGCTCATGAGTTAAGGGAAAACTTAACTCATACACACTCTTGCTCACTCAGTGTCTGTCAGCAGTGAACCAACTAGTCGCGATTGTATTGTGGGAGTTTTGCTCTGCAGTAGTAAAAACTAGAAGTGAGGCTCGTAACTGGTTTGAAAATTGCCATGGATTGGATGCTTAGTGAACAATCAGCTGGAAAGTTAATTTAAGAGAAGGGGAACATAGTGGCAATTCAGAACAAGAACATATGAAAGGAAGTAAAGAAGTGCTACAAATATGTTGTGTTTAATTTTTCTACTCTAATTTGCAAGTTGTCATTCAAATCTCCTATGCAATAGATAGAGAGGTTAATTTCTCTTTGATAATTATTAATGGGGACAGATAATTCTATTACAGATAGAGTAAAAAACCAATAGGATATGTCTAATGTTGATTGTAGTGGATCTTTCTGTCACTGTGATACTTTTCTCTAAAGTACAAGGAATTTTTTTATATTCTTTGCATTATTACTAGAACATGACAAGACCGCACTAATTAGTGCTGTGACTTAAAAAGCTTCTCATCATCCCATTGGTTTTCAGGTTTGATTTCAGAATGGAAGTTAAAACTCAGAAAAAATCCACAATATTAAAAAGTATTTTGTGCAGCATATGTCTAGAAAAATAAGTGCAGATAGAAAGATGAATTCTGATTTGAATACATTCAAATGGAACAAAACACACTGCCAACCCATTTATATTTTAAGTATTACCACTGAGTAATTTTCTCCTTTTTTTTCTCCAGGCATGATGACATCAACTGGAAAATCCAGAAATCTGACAGTCAAAAGAGTATTGAAGAGCCAGAGCTGCAGGAATTCTTCCTCTAAAACATATCATGATGTCTCACTTAGTTTGAAATACCTGAAATATAGCCTTTTGAAACACAAATATGAGACATACCCCTCACCAGCAAAACAGCAGCTGTTAGGATGCCTTAATTTGTATCAGACCATATACAAATCTTTTTTATGATATATGTGTATATGTAACTTGTTTGTAAGCTGTGCTGTGTAAAGGCATGGGTGAGCAGAAGTAACAGTTTGAAAATTGTTATGACACTTGCAATCTCCAAAATGTTTGTTAGGCCACGGAACACATTTTGTACTTTGTGTCTTGCATGGATATATTGTCATATATCTTTATTTCCCTTTGTCAACAGCATATACTGTCAAAGTTTCATCAGGACTCTGCCTGTGCAGCTCCTCAGTGAGATCAAGGCAAAAGCATTGGATTTTTTTAGTATGTTTCGTCTGTTGTTATTACTATTTTTTTTGTAAAAAGGAAATAAAGACTGTTAATAGGATACATTGAGTGCAGATACTTCCTGTAATTAATCTTCTCTTTTGAGCTGTAAGGTTTTTTTGTTCTTTTTAATGTTCATTTTGATGTTCATTAGACAACATCCAATTTATGGATTTCAGTCAATTAGTTGTGTCAATAGTTGCTTTAATGTTTAGTAGTCCTTTATCAGCTTTAAAACACATAGAAATAAAAAGTACAAATGTAGTTTTAAGTTACCAATTACTGCTACTTGCCAAGCACTGGCAGTGTGCTCAGCTTTGTTGAAGTTACTGCATAATCTGCTGAAACTCTAATCCACATTCTTCCAAAGCTGTCATTGAATTGAAAGCTTTATTGAATGTCCTTTTAACTTTTCAGAGAAAGTGAATTAATTCACTTTGTTTCTGGTAAACTGTGAGTACATTCTTCAAATGCATCCTACAACACAATATCCAAAAGCAGACTACTAGGCAGTCTTTACTTGTCACTTTTATTTATAGCAAATATGTGTGTATATATTTGCTTTATTTTGTTTTGATTATGTTGGATTATTCCCATTTGAAGACTGCTACAGTTTGCTGAGAAAGATTCAAATTCATGAGGATTTGTTTTTTCTGACTGTTCTAATAGAACACAGGGAAGTCAAAGAAAGTTTGCCAAGTAAAATTTTACTTTGTCACAAAGACAGTCATAGAATCATGGACTGGTTTGGGCTGGACAGGACCTTTATAGATCATTGACTTCCAACCTCCCAGTACTGGGCAGGAACATAAAAATTATGGTCTTGTGATAATTAAATTCATGCAAATGCAGAACTAGTAACTAAAAAAACGTGGACATGTGAGGATTTTGATTAAGTACAATGGAGTTGCTTTCTGTGCAGTTTCTCTTGCCTTATTTTTGTGTTTATCTTGACTGTTGGCTTCATTTATGGTCAGTGAGGAGAGAGAAACTTTCTGATTATGATTCATTCTCCCTATAGGATATGTCTTATTTGCCAGGAGAATCAGCTAATCCCTTCCTACTTACTACAGCTACAGGGGAGCTGAGATAGTAAAGCTGTAGTAGTTACTTACTATTTTGGTGCCTTTGATTAGGTGTGATAAATGTCTTTCTTTGTATCAGTCTTCAGGGTGATGTCACATTTGGCCACATGTCTTGCATGGACCAAGATGTCTGAATGCCCCAGGCACCTTGCATAAACACAGAGTACTACTGGATAAATACAGGGCCAACTGAGACATCAGAAAAACAAATAAAAAACAAGCAAAAACCAACCAAACAAACAAAAAGCCCAAACAAAACCCAAAACCAAACTAAAAAGACACAATACACACATATGCACAAAAAACCCACTCCAAAGCTCACACAATATAAGAAAATAAAAGCCTGTACTTGCAGAAATGAAATTCAGAAATTCTTTCCACAGTCCTTATCTGCCACTTGGCAGCGCTCTGATTTTTTAGCTAAAGTGATAAACCTCGCACGCTAGCTGATCTGTTTAAAGAAACAACCAAACCTCTAAAAATATCTGTGAGTCGGGAACAGCAATACCTCTAACTGGGCCTCCTGTCATCTGTGTGCATATGAAAAATTTGAAAGCAAAATGAGAAGAGACACATGTGCTGCAATTGACAGAGTGGTGAAAGAGAGCTAAAAAGGAGAGATTCTGTGTCTAGTAGAGGGGCTTAAAACAAACTGGCAATTTGCATTTTTGAGAATGTGAAGAGAGTTGACTATGTTCATGTCAATGGCAAAAGCAGCAATCCTGCTGAATGATCTTGACCGACTGGAGATGTGTAAAATCTGCCACAGTCTGCTATACATAGCTGAAGCAGGGGATAAAACTGAATTTCAGTGAAAGGTTTTGAAGCAGAGGAAAATGTAAATATTGTCAATCCCTGGAAGTAAGAAACTGCCTACTCTAGAGACTGAGAATTTAAAAGTTATCTGCTCTCTGCAATGTAGTATTTCCAAAGTATATTTTTATACAGCATGTGGAGAATCTAATTATGCAAGTATCCTAGGGCAATACAGATTACTACATGAGATAATATGATGAGATAATATGATGATGATCCTCCAGGAGATGTTTGGGGTCTGTGGTTAAAGGCATCCATGGTTCCTGAGCACATTGCAACAGAAGGATATTCTGGGACAAGCTAGCGCAGAAGAGAGGCCAGCTTGGTGTAAGCCTGAAAGTAGTGTCTGGAAGGCTTAAGGTGAACTCCTGTTGTATAAACTGCTGATTTTATTGTTCTTTATTTGTAGTCTCTTTCCTACCCAGGGCCCCAAAGCCTGCACATGGTACAATCTGATATTGTGCCTTTTAGAGAAATTACGATTCTGTGATCTTCAGCTGGCTGATGCCTACATGCTTTGTGTATTTGTATCTTTAGCAGTTATAAAATCCAGGTTCTGTTTATCCTGCAGTTCTGTTCCAAAGGTGATGAACAGGGTGCCAGAGAGCAGTAGTGAATTTCAGGTAATCTCTGTTTCCTTTTCTGAAAAATTAGAATAATTTGCTAAGAGCCTTGTGATTTTTTCATGGTTGACTGATCTATTTGGTTCTGGTATTTGAGACAAGCAGCATATGGATGCACATGCAGCATCAAAACTGCAAGAATGGTGCTTTAATTTCATCAGCAGAATGGTGGGCTGTGCTTTGTCTTGCATTAGTAGAGCAGCATTTTCATAGTACTCCATTTGTCTGCCTTTCAGTATCCAAGTGAGAGGTCAACTACATAGGTTTAGTAAGGTATTAGTAAATAAACTATAGTCAGCATAGTTGTATGAAGTGAATGAAAGAGACTAGTTAGTTTAGATTTAATTTTCACTTCACTGTAATTGTCATTCAGAAACCTTTTTGTAACATCAAATTGTCATAAGATCAATTGCATAACAAAATATGACTGACAGCATAACAGTAAAAAAATACTCCAACATCCACTTATTTATAACAAGATGGTAACTGTCTCAGAACTATACTCTCTTGAGACCTAATTTGTTGCATGTTTCATCATCTACCATCACAAGGAACGTCAGGATATGATCATGCAACAAAATCAAAATTAACCTAAAAATGTTAGCACATCATATGCCAGGTATGAATTAATGGATTAGTGAAGGGATCTCAAAGGTGAGACAACTTTGCATGTACACTAAGATTCACCTCCTCATACACCTGAAATATTTCTTAGCCTTTTAAAAACTTACTTATGGAAAAATCAACAGAAAGATTTGTTTTAAAAGTAGTCCTTGCATTTCTAGCATCAAAATGCAAGGCTTAATTGTCTGTCATAAAATGGCTTTTCAATGACATAGTAGGAATAATTTCTCAAAATATATTTCATTTCCTGTCATAAGTTCCGGAATGTCTTTCCCACTGTACAGCTATGCCCATGTATGGGCTGTTACTTAGTTAGCTTTTGTATAACTTTTTTGAGGTTGGAAGTAAGCAAGCAGTTGTGCAGAAGTACAGCACATGCCCTGCAAACAAAATATCTTTCAGACATAGAACTACGGTGAGCACTGTATGCCCAAGTGTAAAAGCCCAGGCAGGGGTTTACCAGCAGTTCATCCTCTGCCTCTGTAGAATATCACTGACCTATCACCTTCTTGCATACACCAGACATACAATTCACTATTTGTACCCATTTAATTTGTACTTCATTATAATGGAATATATAATATGTAACTTTGTCAATACGTAACTTTGATCCAAGTATCAGAGAATTTAGACAGGAGAAATCAGACAGGTTCTTAATATGCCACACAACCTCTCCAAGTAAAGAAGGGTGTTGCATGCACAGCACCAACCACCCATCCTCTTTGCATACATTTAGTGATGCATCACTACTTTTCCAGATACTCCAGATTTTGTAGTGTGGGCTTTTGTCTAACATGTATGGTCAGCTGTAAATAATAGCTCTAGCCGTCTGTTTCCTGGAGAACATTTCTTTGACAGCTGCAAAGTCACTTCCTTTCCCACTCTAACAGTTAGGTGTTTTGCCAGTGTGCTTACTGGCAAGCAGTGCACAGGAAGAAGGAAAACAATTATTCAGGGTATATTTGGGAAACTGATAAGAAATCATGATGCTGTTAGAACACAGACCTAGCTTTTTATCTCTGTTTTCAGAAGGCAATACTGCTCCAAGAAAAGAAAATCATGTGGGTCTGGAAGTGAAGGGAAAAGGCCCAAAAGGAGTTTGCCCTCTTTCCTGTTCAGACATGAGCATAGCCTTACATTTTGATAGGGTATGGAAAAACTGCAGCTTAGGGACAAAGTCAGGGGCTTTGCAGTTCAAAAAGCTGTGGCCTGGCCATATACCTATGTGATTGCATATGCATGAAAATGTTAAGACCAAGTGTTAAGTCTTCCAGTACACTGCTAAAAAGGAGGATTGAAATAATGCCCCTCCTTGCTGGTCTGCACATTGTCTGCTAGGGGCAGAACAAGAAGCAGTAAATATAGAACTGTTGCAAAGGATATGGCGGTCATGTGTTAGCAAAACTTTCCACAAGTAATGATAGCACTGGAAACAATAGCCAGAGGGAAGATGGGAGAGAGTTGTAATTAGAGGATTTTAAGAACAGGTGGGAGAAGGGACTGTCAGAAATTACATGCCAGCAACAACCATCAGAAATGCCATGAGGCAGCAGAACTTGGATGACCTCCTGAGATCCCTTTCAGGCAGTTCTTTAATGGGTTTTTAATGTGATTCTACTGTGATTTTCCCTTTTAAGAATCAACTTAAAAGGAAACTCTGTGAGATCTTCACACCTTGTGACTTTTATAGTACTATCAAGACTACCAACAATTCTGCAAGTGGTCCATGATAGGGCATTTATTTTCTGAGAGCACTGGTCAGGTAAGATTCACCTACAGGTTTGCTAAGGAATCAAATAAGTGACTTAACTTTAAACTTTCTTGAAAATATCTACTCAAATGCGACAGCTTCTAAAATATTCTTCTGGTCTTTTAAGATAAAATCCTTTTTTTCAGTGCAATGCCCAGTTCTC